AACTCGAGCCTGTTGCCACTGCTGGGGAACACTACTCAGAAACAGGGGCTGGCAGCGTGTCAGAGCTCCTGCTTGCTTATCAGTGTGTGCTCACCCATCCTGCTCCTCAGAAGAGCTCCAGATTCCGAGTTTCCCCTGTTGTGAGTCCCTGCACTGGGCAGTTCTTGGGTGCAACCTGGAGACTCGTCACGACCAGCCCACTCAATCCACTCAGAAATTATTGATCATTATTGGTTATTCAGCCCTGAAGCTCCAACTCCACAGCACTGTACTCATGTCACCGGGGAGCAGGGCTGAGGCTGAGCAGGGAAGGGTGCAGCAAATACCAAGACAAACTTGTAACTTTAGAATCTGCAAACGTGAGAGGTTTTGTCACCCTTGCACATAAGAGCTTTTGTGAGGATCACTGAGACTGATGAGTGAGACACACGGCCCTGTGGGGAGGCACACGGGGCTGTGAGTCAGGAGCTCTGGGGGATGCTCCTCTGCTCCAGGTGACTCATGCTGAGCCAGAGCCCACTGCTGCTGCTGAGGACAATAGCAAATAACCCACTGCTCTGTGTGGTGACCAAGCACCCTGTGACCAAATGGAGCTCTCCAAGAGTGGAGCTCCCTGTCAGAAGGGTACAAACCCCCACAGTTAGTAGGATTTATGCTGCACTTCAAGAGCATGAGAATAAAGTGCTGCACACATGCAAAGCACAGCAATGCCTCTGTAAAAAACAAAAGCGTGTTGATTATTGCTTTTGCAAAAGGCAGGGGAGCAAGAAAAGGTTGTTTTCAGGAATACTTTCATCACTTGGACAATCATTTTGCAGGTTCCCAGAGCCACTCAAGAAGTGGGCAATTTCCTGCACAAGGGTTTAGAGATGCCCTAAAGGCACAAGTATCCTCTGAAACAGGTTTGCTGCGCAGCAGTTTCAAGGCATGTGGACTAGTGAGAATTTGGAAACTGGCACGCTGAAGTTCCAGCCTGTACTGACAGAGCTCAGCAGGGATGTGATTTCTGCACTGTCAGACTTGGAACAACTCATTTCTAAAGCAGGCAGATGAAGCTGGTTGGGCTTCAGAGACACAAATCAATCATGGCAAGTCACAGATTTCTAGAAGAGGCTGATTAGCTGAATCCCCTGGGAGCCAGATGAGACAAATTCATTCCCCCCACACAGAACACTCTCACTCAGGACAGAGGTCACTCCTCCCTACCAGTAACCTGGATGATGAACACAAGTTGCCTTATTCCTTCATTAGGTCACAGTATGCCAGGCTCAATTCAATAAAATCTCCATTGCTAAAAGCTGTCTCGTCCACTGATTAAATGCCCCATGTAGTCAATTAGTTAAAACCACTGTCTATCTTATGATCACAGTGGGTTCCTAACATCCCAAACTGAATCTAAATATTGAGCTTTATTCAAAAGAATTTTATCAAAAGCCTGGATTGTTTTTTTCTTCTTTTTCAAACATGCACTATACATACACTGAGCTGAGAATTTAACAGATGTTTTTGTTACTATTATAATCTAATCTTTTCCTGCAGGCTGTTGTAGTAATTTTGCCACTAGAAGATAATAAAAAAACATTTTCTCCCCTGCAGAGCTTACCTTTGGCTGACTCAGCTGAGCAGCTGCAGTTTCCTTTACTTGCTTTGAAATTATTGCATCCCAATTGGGCAAGATATTTCTGCTACTGAGAAACAAGTGGCTTTGGAGAAAATGCCAGAGGCAATCAGATAAAGTCTCTTCACCTTGCTCTGGTTGCATTAAAAGCTGGTAATTTTGGCTGCAGCTTTTTCAAGTGGTCCCAACCTGGTTCCCAGCCAGGAAAAACAGAGCTCCTCAGACTGCCTATCAAATAACTCTTATGGTTACTGGTGAAACTCCCAGTTTGTACCTCAGTAAGGAATTCAAAGAAGTGTGCAAGAGCTTCCAAAACAAACAAACAAAATACCAACAGAAATTCAGCTCTCAATTGCAACTGCTTAATGCTGACTGTAAGCCCAAAGTGTATCTTGGGGCTTCCCTTGCCTTGTGCAACAGTTGCCTGAACACTCCTCCACCTCTGACTGAAGAGGGACAAAGGAAAAAACCTCCAAATCCCAGGTGGTTTGGCCAACCCAATGCTGTGTTTGGCTGATGTGTTGGACAGGTGAGCATACTGAGAAACCAGTAAAATAAACTAAAGTATTATGTCTCAGTAATAAAGACTATGATTAGGATAACATGAGAGCAAATTCAGAAGATCAGAATAAGAAGGAAAAAAGAAAACAGTTTCAGAGTAATAATCAGTGGCTGGTTAGATTTTAATTACTCTGCCAGCTAAGACAAACTCTGGCATATTTAGTTCAGTGCTTTGTCTATTTATAGTTTACAGATATTTACAGTTAGATCTTTTTTAAAAAAAAAAACAAAAACCAGCATTCTGTAGAGAGTTAATTTCTAAGCTGGGCAGATCTCCCCAGAGGTAGCAGACTGCTCCCAAGGCAGGCAGGACAGAGAGAGCTGGTTCTCCAGCTCGACACAAACCAGCTCCCAGCTGTGAGAACCAGTCTGCAAAGGCAGACCATGCTCCTTCCACCGACAGACCGCTCAGTCCCACAGAAAAGGCAGGAGGACTGAAAAGACCCCCACACTAAAGCCCCAGTGATAACCTGGACCTGCTCAGCCCAGCAGCCTCCCCTCTGTGCTGAGCTTTCTCCCAGGTTTTCAGGGGTTTGTCAGTGACCTCTGTACTGTAGCTCTGCAACCCTCCCTCATACACTGCTGGGCAGCCACGTACTGCACTGAACTTAGCCCATGTCCTCATTTATCTGCTCTTCTGACTCAAACAGAAGGTGTAAAGAAGTAAGGTCTTGTGGAAACTCCTATGATTGCCAAGCACTTTAGCTCTAAAGTGCACCATGAGCCACCCAGCCCACATTATTATTACCAAAGAAAATGAAAACCTGGAAAAAAAAAATATTTCTAATACCTTGACAGGCCCATCACTTCCCATTAAAAATAGAAAAGCCATTTCAGAAAGTGAGCAAGCACCTGAATTATAGATCAGCACAGGGCTGGGGTTGTGTGACTGCACCTGGCAAGGGTCAGAGCTCGGCTCCCCTGCAGCACCTTCAGCAGCTCTGGGGGACTCAGCCCCACCAACCCCAGCACCCTCCTGGCAGTGGCATGCCGGGGGAGAGAGGAATGCAAAAGATTTCTCTGCAACGCCAATTTCGGTGTAAATAGCTTGTTCTCTACACGAACGTCTGTAATTGTAATCACAAAAGTGGTTAGAAGATGTGATCCAAAGCTTGGGAAGAGGTCTGGTTTCTGTTTTGGACCAGTGTTATGCGTAGCTCTATTTATATCCCTCTCCTTAACTGTAAAACACTGGGGGTATTTTATCATTGAAACCATCTTCATACAACGTCACCCACGTCTGCCATTCTGCCTGACGGAATTCACTGCGATTAGCGGATGATGAAACTTGAACCCTAAAACTGCGAGCAAACGAAATACACCGAGTTCTGCTTGCGGGGCCAAGCGGAGAGCGCGCAGGAGGCTGCTGGCTGTCAGCAGGGCACTCACCCAGCCCTGGGGATCACACCCAGCCCTGGGGATCACTCCCAGCCCTGGGGATCACTCACAGCCCTGGGGATCACTCACAGCCCTGGGGATCACTCACAGCCCTGGGGATCACTCACAGCCCTGGGGCACACACCCAGCCCTGGGGATCACACCCAGCCGTGGGGATCACTCCCAGCCCTGGGGATCACCACCCAGCCCTGGGGATCACACCC